AATGACTGCACTATGCAACTGCCTTACAAAACAGGAGAGGAAACAAACACAGGTTTAATTGCCCACTGCACTGAAACTGCTTTATCCTGCATAACCTCATTATTTCTAGAAAATTTGGCCCAGGCCATATGGTGGGAGGTGAGGTGGGAAATTTCCCACTGCAGCAGCAGCCTGCCAGGTGGGGTTATTACACTCCACAGGTGAGAGTACCTCTGCACAAAGCTCTCCCCAGAACCTTGGAGGTGAGGTGCAGCCCCGAGCCTGTCCCCCACAGGGCCCTCACAGCCAGGCTCTAAGTGCAGTGGGGAAGGGGCAGCTGGGGCTGCACTGCTGGGAGGGTTCTTCAGTGTCACCTTCGACTCTCCCCAGCCTTTCCTGGGTGCTGGGCAGCTCAGCTGCTTGGGCAGAGCAGTTTCCTTCCCCTGATTTTGAAATTTAAAGCCACCATAAGCCGTTGCAGCGTGTTTATAGCATCCAGCATTTTCCCATCTGGCCCTCCTCAAGCTGCTCATCCCATTCAGAACACAGAAAGAATGACAAGGAAAATGTAGTGGGAGTACACGAAATGGCAAACCTGCCTGGGGCCCTGAATGGGAGCAAACAGCACGAGGGCACGTTGTGCACAGGCCCAGGGACGTGTAGTGAGGTTAATTGCTCTGCCCAGTTTTAGTCCATCCTGCTCCAGAGAGGGAATTCACTTTCCTGGGCGTGGGGAAACAAAGCAGGCCAGTTTGTGGGAAAGAAAAGCCTGTTCCTTTAATCTGCCTGAAAGCTTTTGGTACATCAAAGTCCTGGCGAGAAGAGATGTCGCTGATATAATTGGTGTGGGCAATTGCAGAGGTTTTGATAAAAAAGACCTCTGTTGAAAGAGTTATTCATGGGAGGCAAAGAAGGGTCATGGGTTGGGCAGGAGCTAAGAAACCAAAATCCCCCAGCAGGATGAGGGCTGAGGAAATGTCACACAGCTCTGTATCCCACCCAGTGCCCTCCAACAGCAAAGCCTGTCCGGTGCTGATGAGGAATTGCCAGGGGCACCACCAAAGCCAGGGGAACAGGCCAGAGTGGGGGAGGATCATCCCCCCTCATGGACACAGCCTGGGTAAGGCTCCTTGGGAGGAAGGGGGTGATGGTTGTGAAAACCAGGTAAGTCCAGATCAGCTGCCACCTCTCGAAGAGAAAACCGAGCTCAGGCCACGGGCAGCTCACCACAGTGCTTCACTGCAGGCTGCAAATATACATGATCCCAAAAACTCCTAAAGAAATGAAGATACTAGATAAAGATCAGGGGAGAAAGTAGCAGGGAACTGTCCAAATGCTCAGACAGGAAGGAAGAGGAGGTCCTCTTCTGGCATTGCTGCCTCTCACCAGCTTCCAAATGACACATCAAAAAGAGACAAGGGGAAAGTTTCTGAGATGGGAAAGTAAGAGAGTTAGAAATAGAGTCTAGCTAGAATTGAAATGATTTTAATTTCTAGGTGAGGTGAGTAAAATAACATAATGGCAGAATACAAAATAACAAACAGCACAAAGAAGGTACATATAAGTACTCCTATTTTCACTTTTCACATAAAAAGAGAACAAAGGGACAGTCAATAAAGCTGAGCAGCAGCACATGTACGAGGATAAGCAAAATGCTGTTGTTCTAATGCACTCTGCATAATCATCCAGGGAGCTCCCTGTTCCAGCACAGCACTAAAATCACAGATGCAGAGAGACTTGCAAGAAAGGGACAGGAATGTACCTGAAAGACCATTTGCAGTTAAACTCCCTGTATGTGAGTTACATGAGCAGTAAGCAATAATATGGGTTTTAAGAGAGGAATTCTCATACAAACAGCAGTAAATGGGAGGGGGGCAGAGATCCCCAATGGCAGATTACTCCAAAAATTTCCTTCCAAGGGACATCTTGTTCCTCCTTCCTCTGAAGCTTTTATGTTGACTACTGGCAGCAACTGGTGTTTGGAGAAGACAAACACCAGTTGTGCTTCTCATCTCCTGTGTCTCCCTCCTGCAGCAAGACCAGAGCACCTTCCCATCTGCCCTGTGTCCATGTGTCACTCTGAGGGGGGTCTTTTCACCCTTCCTCCCTGCAGCCACCTCCCCAGTGAAGGAGCTGGGCCAGTGTGCTGCTCCCACCAGCCCCATTCTCTGCAGTGACCTCACTGAAGGCTCTGCCTGCAGGGGCTACCAGAGAGCACCATGTGAAAGCCTAAAGCTGGTTCCCCAGGCTGGGGTGCAGCTGCCCTGGGTGGGGGCTGTCTGGGGACAGGCAGCTGCCTGGGTGGGTGCTGAGTCCCAGCCTGCTCCTTCCTTCTAGCCAAGGAACATTTCACATCCTCGGCCATATGTGACTGAGGGAGGTATAAATAATCCTGTCTTCTCCTTTTTTTTCCCATTGACGTGCAGTGATATCTCCCCTATTCATCGCTGAAAGGATCCAAAATTAATCTCAGGAACAATTCTGCCTGGTGATGGGAATGCACTCATTGCTGACACACATCAGCACCTCCCTTTGAGAGGTCCATGATCCTTGAGAGTCCCTTCCAACCCGGCATGTTCTGTGATTCTGGACAGATCCCAGTGAAGGTCAGCAACAGGGAGGTGGGACAGGAAATTACTTGGGAGAGTACCCCAGAATTTAGATAGAGCTGACAACTGCCAAACCGAGTTTGTGGAAACCTTCCTCTTCGTGGCCTCCCTCACCTGAGGTAGATCAGAAGCCCAGGTCTTTCTGTGCCCACAAAGTTAAAATAAAACCAGACACTTTGCCCTGATCTCCCTCTCCGTGAGGTTTTGTCCTTACACTCAGACTATGAACCACCCTTCTTCCCCCAGCTGCCATCCATGCCCAAAGGATGGCACCCCATTTCCCAGCCTCTGCACAGCTCCTTGCAGCACTCCCTCATGGCATCCCAGGCACATCTGCCACACTCTCCCACCAAAACACAGCAGTTACAGGCAGTGGTTGCTGCTTTCCCCTCCCTCTGTAACCCCAAATTCCACCTTGCTCCCCTCTGCAGGAGGTGTGGTAGCAGGGAACTGGTGCACAGAGCAGGGCACCCTCTGCCCATCATCCCCAGCCCCTCTGCCAGCTGATCCCCCTCTGCCAAAACCATCAATACCTCAATACCACCATTGTCCTTTAACATCCCACAGCCTTTAATATCCCCACCCATGGAGAACATGGCAGTCTTTCCGACACGGAGCTGGATATTAAGAGACCTTGTTTTTTGTTGTGTGGTCTTGTTTTGGTTTGTTTTGGTTTTTTTTTTTTAAGACTTTATTTGTCTAACATGCTTGACCAAAAATTACAACAACATTCAAGTTATGCCAAAATGATTAAATAATCTTTAAGCTTTCATACCTCAAGTACTTTAAATGATATTTTGAAGTAACAGCTGCTTTCATATCCTTTCCACATAAAAATACACAGTATTTGGAAGATACCTTAGGAAAAAATTATTTTTAAGAGAATAGTTTATGGTCCACATAGAAATGTTGCTGAGGCCAATAAAAGGACCTCTTCCCCCCACTTTAACATTTTAGTCTCTTAAGTGCCATGAGCGAATGTAAACATCTCAGACTTTAACATACAGCCAATTTCCTGCCACATTTGTTGCAAACTGCTTGAATTGTGACTAGCTAAGACACTTTTATTCTAACTACAGTGCTATTGTTCATCTTCCCAGTGACGGCAGGAGTTCATATTCGACTATGAATTTCAGTTCTTGCTGATTTAGGAGTTGATCTGCAATTTCTACACCAGTAGCTCTGACAAAAGTGGCCCCCTCTGAATTCATGGCAGGCTGCTCATGGGAACCACTCACCCAAAAACCACTTGCAGGCGTGTGACAAGGCGTCAAAGACTGTTTTGGGTTTCGTTTTCAGGAAAAAGCAGCACATCAGTTTAGACACAAGGTCACCCAACAGGTTACAAAGAATGACAGACCTGTGACTTGTTATGTTTTCTGGGGGTCTGGTGGCTTCTTGTGGGTCCAAGGTAGTGACTGGGCTGGAATATCTTGGCTCCCAGCAGCTGATGGAAGAGCTGCTGCCCATGGGGAACCAGCAAAAAGCAGTGTTTCTGCCCACCTGGCTCAGAGGTGCAGCTGACACAGCCTGGTTTTGCCACACAGGTATTTTAAATTGTGCATGTGTGTCATGTACATGCAGCTGCCACGTGAAGCTCACATTTACATCCACATATTGGGCAAAAAGTCACACACACAATTATCCAGTGCATGAGTGCAGAGGTGGGCCAGGCACAGACCTGCAGACAGCTCTGAACTGGCACTGCTGAGCTCTGCCCAACCTCTGTGAACAAGATTAACATCTAGATGCCATCAGCCCCAAATTGAGGATGTCCACGTTCAGAATACAGCAGCTGAACAACCTCCATCAAGGCAAAAGGAGATGTTGGTTAGTCCAAGGCAGAAATCCATGTCTTTCTTTTGGTGGGTTCCAATCAATTCTTAAGCTTCTGCCTAGGACAGGAGTGAAATCCCAGCAGCTTCAACACCCCTGCTGGCCTGCAGGAGAGCTGCACGGGCAGTGCCACTGTGGGCCACCCCAACCAGCTTGTGGCACGTCCCCTGCTCTGCCTGGTGGCACCTACAGCACCACGAGTGGATTTCAGGTTGTCCTGGGCCTCTCTCAGCAATGTCCATGAGTGGGCAAACAGCAACCCCAGGGGAGGTGCCCTCTGCTCTGTGCCCATCAGTGTGTACTCGTTACAGCTCTCCAGAAGGGAATCCCCAAACCCCACCTTGGGATGGCGCCTTCCCCCATAACATCCACGATGTTCCCCAAGGACAAAATGATCACAATGACATTTAACCCCTCCTGATCAGGGCCAGACTCAAACCAGTCATCTCAGCAATGGCTGCACGTCCCATTAGCAGGTTTTAAACCCACGGTCCCAGTGGGTTTTATTTAAAACACCGTTACTGATCACTGGGTGGGCTTTTTGTGGTTTTTCTCTTTTTTTGTTTTCTTTTTTTTTTAAATACAGTCACGTATCTCTTTACCATATGAAAACACAGTTATATATTTTTCTTCTTTGTTTTTTTTTTCCTTTTTTTTTTTAGGGAAATGTCATCCTTTTTTTTTACAGGTTACAAATTCCTGAGTTTATACTGCACTTAACACAGTCTCCCTTCTTGAATGTTGAGCTGTTTACAGCATGCTGGCAATATGCACCATTTCCCTTACCATCTGTAATGCCAGATGTAGTAAAACTTCCATTTCAGTACAGTGAATTAGGGCCTCTATTGCATTGGTTTTGAATAGATGCAAAGACTTAGACCTGGAGGACTTGGAGTAATAGCTTTCCTCCAGTGACTGGTCATTTGTGCAGCATCTTTTATATTTGCCATGTTAATTAAGGGAAAACATCTTCACCATAATTTTTCTTTTACTAAGAGCTCACTGGGAAACATCTGAAATGAGGGAATCCTAGTCTAAACACTGAAGTTTAAACTGCAAACTTTCTTAAAGAAACACTCCTTTGAAAGACATTGTTCTTTTAATAAGTCCAATACACGGTATATACAAAAGCCCCTACTAGATATATATATATGTGTATGTATATATATATATATATTTATATGTGGAATGCATTCACTTTTCTGTGTTCACAAATATTTTAATGGTGAAATGTTAAGTCTTTAATCTGTTTCTGGCACCAAAATGTCTTTGTTCCTCATCCACTTTTGTTACTCGAAATTTATCTGTGAAGAGCTAGCGGGGAAAAAAAGAAGGATTTTGCTTTTTTTTTGTTTGTTTTTGTTGAATGGTTCCCTATTGGGATTCTCAGCCAGCAGTATAAAGTTGCTAATGTGTTGGGTACAACTTTAAATCCTCGTTATAATCATGTGTTCCTTGGAGTAGGTAAGTCAATAACTATAGGTGGATTAAGTGGCTGGTAATTCACAGTGCACACAGATGCATTCACATAGGTAGTGGTTCCATCAGCCATGACACCATAACCTACAAAGTAAGAAAAACTCTGGTTACTCTCATTATTCATTATTATCTTCTTCATTTGTCAACTATTCACCTTTACCACACAATGGTAAGTGCCACATTTATCACTTAGAAGGAATTTAAAAATTCTCTTGGTCCCCTGGAAAAACCCATCTTTGTCCTACAGAACTTTTTGCCATCTTTTAAATTGTGTAAGAAAAACAAAACAGCCCCTCACTAACCAGTGGCAATAATCTCTGGCAGCCAGCTCACCAAACCTCCTTAGAAAGAGAGAGACTTTTCTCTGCAAAGCTTTCTTTCTTAAGACTATTTTAGTTCTGGGAAGAATGAGAAGATAGATCTTAGGCATTGAAAAAAAACCGTCCTTCTGATCATTTAGGTTTCCAGTCATCAATGCAGCAAACTTTGGGCAATTTCTGCCCAGTGTTGAACATAATTCAAGCAAACAATGAAGAAAAAGCATTGCTTGGCTCAAGGGAAGTGTGTGAGCATGTGCAGCTGGGCAGGATTTGTCTATAGCAGCAACTCCTTCTTCCTGTGTGTTTGAAGTTGTTAACCGATTTCCATCAAATTTGATGGAAACAGTACCTTTTTTCCATCAAATCTGATGGAAAGACACTAAAATTCCTGCCCAGGGAGAGAAAAAAAATGGCTTTATTAATGCACTCTCTAACAGACAAGGTGAATTCATAATCCAAGACACCATAACATTTCCACACAACTGTGTGTCTCACCAGTGGTGGAAAAGCTTCAACCACATCTCATGTCTGGCCAGACACCCAAGTCAAACAATTCCAGAGCTAAATATGCAGAAAATCAAACTTCCAGCCCTAATGCCTGCAGAAATACTGTGAAATGCTGTTTCGGAAAGTGAAGAAGAAGCCCTTCAACTGGTGTTTTGAGAAAGCAAAAGCTCTCCATTGTAAAAAATCTTTTAATGAATGACCAGGAAGAAACATAAGCTTGATTACACTAAAACTAAAAGCTGGACGTTGGAAACTTCCATTGAAATATTTTGATCAATATGAAAAATTCACAATCAGAAATACAGGATTTGGGAGGAATCACTTGATAGAAAGTGTTTGTATTAAAATTCAATCTCATTGTTAGTGAAGTTCCTAGGGAAATGTATTTGTTGTTACATACACTGAGATCCAGCTATTCAAATCCCAGGTACCTGGGACCCTGTGGTTTTTTCTGAGTGCAATTTTGTGTCTTACAGAACCATTGGCAGTTGCATCATTTGCAAACAAAGAAACAGTAGCCAAAAGCCTTTTTTTTTTTTGTGTGTGTGTTCCTTAAAATACCCTGAATAATGCAGGGCCTCCTAGACTCTCCATGGAAAAACCACACTATAATTAGGGACTAGGGAGGGAAGAAAACTCCGTCAGGTTCCTGTCACAGACATTTCTTTAAGCCAGTTTCTGTTTGCCACAGAAGAATTGGTCTGTGCAAAACACAGATTAAGCGTTGCTGCTGGGACTTCGTGTCTTCTTGGCTACTCATTTGAAGATTTGCTGGAAGATTCCTAATGCTGTGGCTTTCACTCCTGTCCTACTGCCCGCAGAGTTTCCTTGGCCATGACCTCAGCCAAGGATTGGCTGTGATGGGAAAACCAGGATTTTAGTCCCTGCCATGCTGCTTGTCACTTCCATGGGTGCATCAGCAGGAAACCCATGTGCAGAGGTATTTTCTTGGCAGACACGGCAGTGCAGAGGGGGGAATAGGGAAGAAACATCTCTTCTAAGCATCCCTTCCCCCCAGATGTTCAGTAAATGACTGCTGCAGATGTAGCTTTGCTCACTCAGAGGAAGAACTCATCTGTTCAAATCATGAATTCTCTCCACAAAGTACAGCTTCGTTTGCACAGGCTGCCTGCAAAGGGAATTCTCCTCTGCAGAGACTCAGCATCCCACTGCAAAACAGGCTATGCAGTTCTTGTTTTCTCTAAATTGTGATGGTTAACAAGAAGAATACCTTGTTTCTGTGCTTCAATACCTACTGTGCCAACTACATTATTTCACGAGTTTTCCCATTCCAGGGAGGTGCCATTCTCTTCCCTTGAGAGCAAAGCTGGGCTTGGTTTTAGCAGATGTGATTTTGTTTACCTGCTTGAAGCTTCATGGCTTGCTGTTTGCTTGGATCCCCTGCAACCCACTTGGCTCACAGTTTCTGAAATAGTGATGAGTTTGAACTGTATTCACCAGCTCTTCTGGTTGGAATATCAAAGATGCTCTAGCAGCATCATTTGTTTACTCTGTGATTTAACAGCACTTAGGACATTAACCAGGCATTAACAGAACACCACAGAGGAGAATGGACCAAATCCCTGAGCTGTAAAACAACGATCTGAACATCTTCTCCATCAATTTTACACCAGCACACCCTCTCAGCAATGTCCCCTCTAACGTGGGGTGAAAGCCCCCAGCAGCAAGCCAGGATGGCATTTCTTGGGAAGGGTGGCATTTCTTGGGAAGGGCAATATTTCTTCTCAAAACCAGGATGCCAGCTACTCCAGTTTTTCCATTTCTGCCCTGGTGAGACCTACAGAGATCCTACATCCAAGGCTGGAGCAGGCCCAGGAGCAGAAATCTGGCAGTAGGGCAGTACCTTCTCCTGCCAGTAAGTTAATATTGCCAAGGACTGAGCAGCTGATAAACACTTACATGCCAACGGGTTACCTTTTGCACAGCCCAGTGGTTTCTTCTGGGGGCACTGCTTGAAATCCTTGATATGTGAACAGGGCAGACAGCATCTACCTCTCCCTTTGCCTGGAGATGCACTCCTGCTGTCACCAACTTCAGCAGAGCATTTTTGGCACCATTTACCTACTTATGTGAAGGGAACTCATTTTTTTTCCAGCTAAATATCAAACAGTCAAGAGAACTGCTTTGTTTCATTTGGGCACCAAATGTTTCCCCTGCCAAAGCAGCTAAATGCATCAATAAATATCCTGGAACTCCTACACAAGGCAGTGGTGACATCCCTCTTGATTCCAACTTCATATATGCACTTTATTGTACAATCTTGAAGCTTAAGCCTTACAAGCACCTCTCAAAGCATTCCTACCCATTTTAGAACCACAGAAACTGCAACCTAGAGAGCTTATATGAATTATCTTAAATCACAGATTCAGCTAAGGAAAATGCAATCCATCAGTCCTAATATTTAGTAACCACTGGGCTTGAGTTCTTATTTTAAAATTCACAGTAATCCTCCCTGTGAAGGAAGCATCGCCCTGCTTCATAGATGTACAAACTGAAAGAGAAGCTGAAGTACAAATATTGAAATGGGGGTATCAGCCAACATGCAGCTAAATATGTATCTGAATTCTAGAATTTCAGACATTCGAGTTTGAAAATGCTACTTAAACCTTCTGTGTTGGTGGTTTCTAAACATACATAGAAAGAAATGTGTTCTGACCTTCATGGATATGTCCAAAAACATGAAGCCTTGGCTGTATTCGTCTCTGGACCGTGTTCAGCAGCTCGACACATCCTACCCGTTGCATTTTCTTAGGAACCCAGTCTAGAAAACCTTTGGAAAAGAAAGGAAAGCTTTAAAAGGAGACAGGTAATCTGCAGTTGTGCTGGTCCACAGCATTTCTGAGATTTCATGGCTTTTCACAAGCAGCCCCAGAAGAACCGACGTGGAAAAAAACTGTGTTGGTAAATAGAAGAGGAAGGAAGGAAAAATACTCAAGGAAAACCATAAAAGCTCATCTGGATAAAATGAACTATGATAATCCTTACAAGTTGTTTTTCAAGGAATTAAAAAAAAAATCACTGCAATTCAAGCATTTTTTGCACTGCTGCAAATGGGAAAACTCAATGTTTTACTCATTTTTCTTCCTCGAAGAGGGTGAGGTGTAAAGAGCAGTGAGTCCAAAGTGAGTCTCCAGACAACCTAAACGAACATTTAGCTGTTTAAATCTAGTCCTGGGATCCGCTTTTTTTAAATGGAACACTTGACTGATGTAATGGAATCTGTGTTAATTAAAAATGGAATCTGTGTTAATAAAACTACATCACATTGAATCCCAGAGTAGTGGAACTCAGGTGAGGAACCTTCTGTGTGCCCAAAAAATAACACCCTCAGGCAAAACTGGTTTAACCAATTCATGGCACAGCAAGCCCCACTTGCCTAAACTTATGGACAGGAAGAGAAACTCAGGCCTTTTGCAGCAGATGTATTTAAGTGCTATATTTACTTGTACAAAGATTGGGTGAAAAATGTGTGTTTCGTATGAATACAGACAGAAATGTTACACCAACTTGCCTCTTTGTCTAAAAATACTGCAGGGGGATGTTTACTGCCAACTGAAGTCTCATGTTTTCCTTCAAAGTAGTACTATAAGAGGGATGTTGTTGTATTAGAGGGTTTGCAATAACCAATGTGATTTCTTTCTATTCTGCCACTGTCACCGGGCTCAAATTTGGAAACCTAAAAAGATAAAATCTTCCTGGTTTTATTCTGTCATTCTGGCATTTTCCCTGTGTGCCTGTCATTGCTTTGTGTCTCCTGCATTGCTGCAGTCCTGTGAATATATTGTGCCTTTAGCCCAGAGTTCCAGAGCCTGGACCTGGTTTTCACAGGTTTCCTTTTGATGTCCACTCAAGCATGGCTAAGCAGCAACCAACTGGCTTAAAAGCCCAGAACTGTGGTATTCAAGCTCCTGGAAAAGCTCTCAGATTTGCTGGAGCTTCAGGGTGGGTTCACACGTTGAGAAATATCTCTTTGGCTGCCAGTCCTTGAAAACCGGGCTCAAAATGCACTGTGGGGTTTTATGGAAATGGCCAGAGTTTGCCCTTGTGTCATAGTTAGAGAGCTAAGTCCAGTTTTCAGAAAGAAGTTGGGAATGCAGAGCCCTAAGTGCCAAAAAGAGGAAGTTCTGCTTGTGGTCAAAGACTTTTAATTCATTCAGATTGGTACCTTCCCCTGCTTGGCACCTGTGAGGGGGTGGACAAAGAGGAAGCCCCCCTGAATTACAGGCAGAGCAGAGAAACGTTCTGCTGAGTCCACCAGTCACTCACAGCAGGTCAAAATTCACTGCAGGAAACAAGAAGTATTTAAGATGTTAAAGTGCAGCCAGCAACTCCTCTGGAATCCAGTCATTCCTTTTTTTTTTTTTTTTTTTAGCATAAACATCTTATAACCGTAGGCTTTGTTCCTTCAGTGATTTGAAACAGTTAATTGTCAAAACGTCTGTGGAGAACACAAAGCCAAAAGTGTTTCCACTTCAAAAACTTCACAAACAAAAATCCATAAAATTAACTTCTCCATTAAATTAAGCATTATTTATGTTGAACATGTTTTTGTTTACATGCATTATCACCCTTCTGAAGCCTTCCCATATGTTTGCAGCTTATTATGTACACCTGACTACACAAACTAAGAATAATTGATTACACCTAGCTAACAATTAGAGTTCATCTTAGGGTTTTTTTAATGTTTGGTTACTTGAAACAGGTTTCTGCAGCTGTCAGGAAAGTATAAATCTTTGTCACAGACAATCAAGCAGACAGCTGCAAATGAAGACTTAAAGGTGAAATTAAATTAAAAACAAAGAAAAGAAAAGTGAACTTTTGGAAGAGAAAGAAAAGAAACACAAATGCAGATCTTTAGGAATCAGGGAAAATACTTTAAAAGTTATACTATACATAAAAGTGACAAAAATATGCAGATATGGAAACGAGCATTAGCACTGATACCATAATCATAAACACTGTATTTCGTAAGCATCTCTTTATTAATAATTAACGGGTTACTAATTAAATGGTCAATAATAGCTGTTTTAACCTTTGCTTTCTTATCCTGGGGGTTTCATCCCCAAACAGAAGAAAAAAAATTTGTTTTTTTCAGGTTTTTGTTACTAACTGAGAAACAAAGTCCATCAACTGGTGCTTCTGCATCTAAATCACACAATTTCAAATCTGTGGAATAATGTATTAATTAGTTTAGGAGGATGCACACTCTTGAAGTGAGGGAATGAGAAAGCAGCACAGAAAATGGATGATGGACAGAATTTAGGCAGCCCTGCTGGAGGAAAAACCAGAATTTGCAAGAGGACTGATTGCTATTTATGATCATTAGGAACAGCTCTGGTGATGCTGCCCAAGATCAGAACAACAATAATCAGCCTTCTGGTTAAAATAATTGGCTGGGAGGGTCAAGGAGGATCCTGTTTCCCAAAATGTCTGTGGACAGAGCTGGACAGAGCTACATAATGAGGAGGTTCCCTACATTAGGCAGAGTTCTGATTTCTTTTGAGTGTCATATATTTGTTGCCCTGGGTGTCAGGGAGAGCAACAGCTGATGGGTTCTGTGCCTGAGCCATCTATTAATGCATCAGTAAGAGAGAGACAAAGAAACAGGAACTTTTTTTTAAAAAAGGAGATTCTTGGAGGATGGTAGAAGATTAAAAATTAAAAAAAAAAAAAGAACAAATACTGAGACATGGAGATGGGGGGAAATTCACATTATTCCATTGCAATCAGTGGAGATGGGCAGCTCTTCCTCAGAATTACTATAATTATTAAATTACTTTTCAATTATTAAATATATCATTAAAGTACTTCTGATGAGTGAGGGAAGAGAAGCTCTGTAGAGGTTCTCCTCCCTCTGCTGGTCCCAGGGGCTACTGGAGAGGCCTGGTGGCTAAATTATCAAGGTGGTTGAAGCTGGATGGTGTGAACCCCTCTCTCCACTTTCCAGCACTGGATTTCAAGTGAATCTTTGGATCAGCTGAAGGTTGGAGGTTTTTTTACAGAATTTTACATTTTTTTACAGAATTTAAAAAACAATTCTGGAAGTGCTGAAGAAGCTTCTGCCAAACTTTGGAGCTGACACCTCTGGGTCTAAACAGTTAATTTCTGACATCCATGATACAGGTCCATATTAAAATCAGTCCATGGCATGAGACTCCACTTCGGTGAAGTATCAAAACACAACCCCTACTGTGAGAAACTACACTCACAGAGAGGTACTTCCCTCAGGATTAGTGAGCAGGGGAATGCAAACATGTCTTTCTAAAGAAAACAAAACACAAACCCTTAAGGTACTTTCTCCTCCAAGCTCTGAAAGGGAAGAAAGGGTGGAAGACAAGAGGGTTTTAGGGTCAGGAAACTGGGGAGACTAAAGGTTTAAAGAAACCAACTGCCTTCATTTCACACAAAGCACTCAGCAGAACACTTAAGTACATGCTCCGTGTTCGTGTCCATTTGTTAAATTAGTGAGAGTTAAACACACAGTCACATTAAATATAGATTGCTAGATGTTAAATTCATCAAAAAAACAGCCTCAAGCCTTTACTGGACAAGTTCATGTGATTATATTATCTCTGTTACAAAGGTAATTTCACAATTTTCTAGGAATACAAGAAATCTCTTGTGGCTTTTATATCACCTCTACTGATATCTGGAAAACACACATGCAAAGCTATTTCTTTTTGACCTGCTCATGTTGCCAGATTGTACTACAGGTAAACAACTCACCCATGCTGTCCAAAGAACAGGCAAACTATGGCAGCATTGGGGTTTGTGAGGCAGAAGGTTCACCAAGTCAGCATGGGGAGAAAAAACAGAGATTCTGGGTACTTGTTAAAGTGATAAAAAATAAGATCCTAATCCTGCATTTCTCTTCAAGCAGGCTCCATGCTTTCAATATAGTAGTTTTACCACTGGCAGATTAGACAGATGCACAGGTAAATGAGCCCCTGCTTATTTATAAAGCTCATTAAGGCTTTATGTGCTAAGGTTTTATTTTTTAAGCCATTATTTAATTCCCTACCATTGAGCACAGGTATCATAGACAATGATGAGCTGAAGTCCTGGTGCTGCTGAAATCAATATGGATGTTACTTTTGACTTTTTCCAGTCAGGACTGCACTTTGTTTCTAAGGAGAGCCAACAGTTACTGCACAATCATCCCAAACACAGCTAAGAGCACTCGTATTTTCTTACCGAGAGGTGGTCCATGTGTTATAAGAATATCTATTCCATCTGGAATAAGGTTCCATTTCTCTAATAGTGCTTGGCCTCGTGGAAGATTAAAGCCCCAGCCATAAAACCAAGGTTGCCTGCCAAGAGAGGAGGAGAATGTCTTCAGTGCTACTTCCATGTACTGGTTATCTAATTAAAACACTGAGATTGACTCTCCACTAGTGTGGAATTTGAAGACACAAACAGCATTCATTTTCTTCTTTGTGTGCACAGTAAACCCCTCTTTCCATACCACCAGCATTATTTAGCTTGGATGGCAAATCAGTGCAGTCCTTACCACTTTCAGCAGACAGTAAAATATTCACAGTATTCCTCTGACTACTTACCACACCTGGATACCAAGATCTCCATGTGTGGATCATCCTGCTGACTCCCACAACATTTAGAACACCTGCCTCAAGACACCTACATGTGAATATGTCTCACATTGGCTCCCATAGCATTTGGCCCTTATCCTGTGACCAGCTGGGCAAGGACAGCCCCTGGCACAGTGACAGATCCCTCTCCAAAGTCAGAGACATCCTCTGTGCTGCTTTGTTTCCCTAATTGGATGCATCCCATCAGAACAAGAATGCTGCTGCTTCTCTCACACATAAATTTCTTCTGTCCTCTGGTGTGTTGACTTGCTTTTAAGTAAGACTTTCCATATTCAGGATTTCTTATCAGACAGGCATTTACATTTTTTAAACCATATTTATGGAGCAGCTCATCGTGGAGCAGCGGGACTGTAACACTGCCAGTCAGAACACAATTTATCCACATCTTGCTATCCCATTGATTAAAAAAACTGTATTTCACACCAATTATATCACAATGTCAAATTATGTCTTGCTGACTAGGCTCCCATTCTAGGTCATAAAACTGAGGGGTTAGTTTTAGGTTGGAGATTTTATAATCTTTTGACAGATATCTTCTGGCCATGCCAATATCTGAAGAACAATGAACAGGCTGCTTTTCTTCCACAGACAAAAAGAGCCTCAACTATTGATGACTGAAAGGCTTTTTGTGTCCACAGCTCATCTAGCTCTTCATCACATGCCCTGGATAACCAAGGTCTGGAGAAAGAGCTGTCCAAGGAAAAAAAAAAAAGTGAAACCTTGTACATCTGCCACTGGGACCAGAAATATATCCCAGCCTCCAGAAGCTGTGAGGAGGGAGGGAGGTGAAGAAGGTGTGTGAAGAAGAGATGTTAACAGCACTAGCAATGAAGCAGAAATCTTGTTCTGAGTCATGTTGCTCAGACCAAGGCACTTGGCTAAGAAAAACCCACATCAGGGCTACAAAATCCCACTTTTCTGGTTACCTGTTCAAATCCTGGCAGCCTTTCCTCAGAAGAGGAACAGCACCTGGCTCACAGGCACGTGACTTCTCACCTTCCTGCTGCTGGGTGGTCTGGACAGGAGGCTCAGGGGAGACCTTATCCCTCTAAAATTTCCTGAGAGGTTGTAACCAGGTGGGTATTAGCCTCTTCTCCCAGATAATAGACAGGACAAGAGGAAACGGCCCCAGGTTGTGCCAGGGGAGGTTTGGATTGGGTATTAGGGAAAAATTCTTCACTGATGGGTCAAGCCCTGGAACAGGCAGTGGCTGAGGCACCATCCCTGGAGTTATTTAAAAGCTGTGTAGATGTGGCACTTGGGGACATGGTTTAGCAGTGTTAGGTTTATGGCTCAGTTCTCTTAACGGTCTTTTCCGACCTAAACAATCCTGGGATTCCAGTAGCTGGCTCACTCTGCAGTGACACTGTCACACAGAGCCAAACCTGGCCTGTGGAGCTTGAACAGCCCCTCTGTACACTCAGCTCACCACTGACAGGACAGGAGTATTTCTGTCACACAGGAATGCCCTGGGAATAAATAAACTGCAGTTTGTGGGGTGCTTGGGTGTTACAGAAGTGGGAGGCTTTATAAAAATACACAGTAGTCAGGCTTTTTCTAAACTCTCCACCCTCTCCTGCCTTGGGATTGCATTCCACACTTTACATGCCAAGGATCTTTCTTCACCCAGATGAAAACACTCCACTGTTTGGCAAATTGTCTGGAGGCCCAGAGCACGTTTTCCAGGAGCAAAATCTCACGGACAGAAAATATTTGCAAGGGCAAACAGGAGGCAAAAGGAGTGTCAGCACAGTAAATTATGTTTTTAAAGCCACTGACAGTGGATACACTTCCCTGCTCCCACCCATTGCTCACCCTGGTGCTGCTGGGCATGGGTAGATTTATTAGATTAGGAGAGATTAGATAGGTTAGATTAGGTAGATTAGATAAATTGGTAAGAGAAGAGTGCTAATAATGTCAAGGTGGTGGGTTCAATCCCTGTGTGGGCCAGTCACTTAAGAGTTGGACCCCCCTTGTGGGTCCTTTCCAACTTAGAATATTCTGTGACTCTGTGACAGGATCGTCCCCCAGCAGAACCAGCCCCGAGAAACAAAACGAGGGAAAAGATGGACTTTTCCCAAGAAGAAAAGGTCAAACCCCCACAGAATAATTACTTGAAGAACACAAGGAAGCATTTCTAAAGAGAAATCACCACGACTGTCACACGGGTCTCGCCACGAGTCAGCTCAACCCCGCTGAAACCCGAAGGACCACGAATGGCAGCCGCAGCTGGGGGAGGCTCTGCTTCCTCCACCAGGGCCACACCACGGGGCCACTCTGTGAAAAGCCCATTTCCCCTTATGAATAGGCATGATGTGCTTATTAAGACAAGCAGCACTTTCCCCCGTGCCTCCCTCCCTCGCTCCCTTTGTGGTGCCTGCAGCCGAGCGCGGGGCTGGTAAGTTATTCATGCTGGAGCTGTTCTTTTGTGAGGGGGAGATGTTACAACTTGTGTGATTTGCCATTATGCTGTCTTTTTGTGACAATCACGAGATGGGAAAGAAATGTCTGGAATATTTCTGGCAAAAAAATACACCCAAAGTCCAAGAAAGGATTGAGCGGAGGATGCTGGCATGCTTCACAGCTGAGAGAAGAAAGACAAATCACACACTTCAGTGCCCCCAAAGCAAAACCATCTTTATAAGCACGCAGGGATTTTATAAATCCCCAAGTCCCTTCTTCTGAAAATTTATTGCGAAACAGCCATCAAAGTTTCTGAGTAGGGAAAAAAAAACCCCAATCTTCTCTAATACCCACTAACAAGTCTGTGACCTGGATATCACACGAAGACAACTTGGTCTAGAATTTCCATTTCTGATGGAACCTGAGAGCAAAGTTAAATTCTTCATGTCAAGCACTGAATTTCTGCGTTCCCGCTTAGTGCTTACTCAGGAAAAGTAAAATATTTTCATAATTTATGTTTCAACAGTATTTTACATTTAACAAAGAAAATATTGTCATGTATGTTCTATAAGAGAAAAATCCGCTGTTTTCAAAAAAAGAAAAATAAACCACCGAGAAAATTCATTTGGCAATTTAAGACATACATCATTAATGTCTCTCACCTCTGAAGTGAAGCACTCCTGTAGAAATGTACTTTGATTTAGGTCTTACATTCTTAAAGCAAACAGCTAGAGTGTCTCCACACACTACTGAAATTCAATAGTATTATTATTTTTATAAGAATAATGCTTGTCTACATATAAGACTCTGGAGGGAAATACATCAGAAGTGAATTTGTTTACAGCACAATTAACCTTATGTTAAAAACATATGAACAAGTTTTTTCAGGTAAAATAATCTACCACACAAAAAGGGCTGAATTATCCGAGTTTGTGGGAGCAATCGGATGTTGCTTTATGTACTGAATTTCTATCTTTCTGTTCTAAAGTAACCATTGGAATAATTTTCTTACAGAATGATAGTTGCTATGACAACCATAGCAAATTTTCCTTTTCTGAAACAGATGTCTCATTTAGTTGAAAATTAGAATGTGAAAAACCCATGGGAAAAATTAATTCAAACTTTAACAGAACACTGACTACAATGTAATCTCTTATAGGTTAACCCCTTAACATCTCTCTGCACTCTTCTAGTAACCTTCTCATAAATTCTAATTAAACCAGCTTAACCTCCTAGAAATGACCTTCTTAGCTATCATTAGCACTTTAGTTGTCTTTGAAAGGATCACTTCTGTTACAATAGTAACAGAAAAAAGTCACACTAAAAAAATAATGGTCAAACATATTACCACTTTAATTACTTATTAGTTCTTTTTTTTCTTTTATTCAGCTACTACTGGAAAGAGCCAACACGCAGTCCAAGAATTCTTTTGTCATTTAAATGGGACGTAACTTGGTTTCACATGTGATCTGCCATAAAGGGTGATGCACCACACAGATCTCACCTGTCATTTACCTGAAAACTGAAGGTTTTCCATTCTCAAAGCACCTCAATCTGCTCAGCAAAGACACACACAAAAAAAAAGGATACTTGATGGGGGGAACTATCAACGTACATGGATTTTTCTATTACAAGCAATAAGAGACTGAAATTTGATTCTCCATTACCTTGATTAGTAGCAAAAAATGCAGGATTAAGCCACAATGTGCAGATCATTGTACATCCTAATTTCTACAGTTTCCTACATTCTTCTTACTGTTATAACTAGCTACACTCCTGTGAACATGGGTATACAGCACTATATACAATATATACCTTCCTTATCTGCCTGCTGTTCACATTCTTCAGGTGTTCACATTTTACATTCCCTATCACGTGAATTTAGCTGAATTTACTCAATTTTGCCTTTTTAGCCTTTCCTCAGTAAGTAACTAACTAGTTTACTGAGTTGCTTTTTTCCTCTACTTTCTCTCCAAGCAAGGATTCACAAAACCTTTTTTTTTCCCTTTTTTTCAGTGGGTTATTGGCCATTTCAACATCTAAAGTAGTTGTGAAATAACACTCATCTTTCTGTCTTTTCTTCCTCCCACAAGAGGACAATCCAAAGCAGGCAGGGACAAAAGCAGCTCTCAGGTCACAGGTGCTAAGAATAATTAGGAGGGCATTGTTTGCTTATGGGCTTTGAAATATTATTCAACATCTTGGCATCTGAGCCAACGGCACAACTGAGGCCTAAAGGAAAACAGGTTTCAGAGGTTTTGAGGAGCATGAGGAGATTTATATTAAGATTAACTTCC